CTTGAACATATTCATAACAGCTGTTTTGAAGTTATTGTCTATTGCCAGGTGGCATAGTGGTACACATCTGTAGTCCCAGCACCTGGGAGGCTGAGACAGGAAGATTTCTGTGCGTTCAAGGCCAGTCTTGACTACAAAGTGGGACTCTATCTCAACAAAACCCCCTAAAATTCGTCATCTAGTGATTCCTGTGCTGGGCAGCCACCTTGCAGTCTGTTTCTCTGGACTTCATTTCTCTCTTGACTCTGGGTTACGTTTTCCTTTTCTCACGACCTATAGATGCGTAATTATAGTCGAGCCCTTATGCAGTAATAGAGATTCTGAGTTTTGTTACCTTTTCTAAAGAATACTGATTTCTTTTTTTCTGTCAGGCAGTCAACTATTTGTGGAGTCTACAGTTTGAACTTTAAGGCCTGTCTGTTTCAGTTTTGTCATTGAGCTTTAGGGCAGATCTTTAGTGCTGATGTAATCTTTACTCCTAAACTTAGGAGTTTACTTAGGGTTTCGGTGCAAGCCTGAAGTGTTATCACCACCCCCAAGTAGGATTCAGACTCCAAATTCTGTCTCTTGCAGTGAAAAGACCTGCAGTCTCATAGCTTCTCAGTGGTTCATCTGCTTCTTACTGCTGCTTTATTGGAATGTAAATATGCTTGTTGTTTATGGTCATAAGGATTAGAGGAGGGTTTACACACAGATCTGGGGCTCCCCCCACCTTGTTCTTTCCTTTTATATCCCTTTGCATATTCCTTCTAACATGCAGCCATTCCAGCAGCCTTGGACTCCATGGTCTGATAAGCTAAGTTGCCCTACATGTGCTGGGACAGGATAGCACCCTTCGTGGCTGGCCAGCTGGCTGGCTTCCTTGCTTGCTTTCTTGACTTTTTGAGACAGGGTTTCCCAAAGCAGTTCAGACTGGCCTTGAGCTCACTTTGTAGTCCAGGCTGGTCTTGAACTCACAACAATTCTCCTGCCTCAGCCTCCTGAGTGCTGGAATTACAGGCATGTGCCACCACTCCCAACTCAATGGATTTTTTTTTTTTTTTTTTGCGG